AAGTGCCCCTTGTGGCAATGCTGAGAATACAATGCATACTTGACAAAACATCCATAATAAAATTCAACAAATTCTAGTCACTTAATTTCTGGCTAGCAACAAATTAAAACAATACAAACCCAAGCAAAGGGTTCTTAGTAGAAAAGAGGTGCTGCTAAGTTTTCATGTGTGTTTTCAAGGGGTTTCCAAAAGTGTTCAGGCCCAAAGACTCGTACCACAGTAAATATAGATGTACAACTGCACTTCGGACTCAAGGCAAGGTCGTCCCTCTCTGGCTCCCTAAAATAAACAGCACCATACTCTTCTCTGCTCTCGTTCCACAGCTTTCATCTGAAGCCAGTGACAGGCTGAGCATGATGGGTAATTCTTCGGTCAGCTGTCGACATTAGGGTGCAAACACCGTCCTCCCCCGAGAACACACACATACTGCGTGATTCACGAACCGTAAATCTCAGAACCAGACCAACGACTCGCTACATCTATGCAAATGATTATTAATAAAACATCACAACTGATATGGTCAAATGTAATGATGTTCCTCCAAGGCCTTCACTGATATGTCACTTAATTTGACAATTGTCAAAGTTTTGAGATTTTTGAGAATTATAAACTCTAAAAATCACTGTATCTTACTGGAGTGCCATACCATACCCTTACAAAAATGAACTATGGTTTTATTGTAGTAAAAGTGTAGTGACCATGTTTTTTTGGCTTATTGATTACCTTTTGTTTAACCACAGTTTTACTATAAATACCATGGTTAAACTATATTTAGTGTAGCCAAACCATGGTTCATTTGTGTTTACCATGGTTTAACTATAGTAACCATGGTTTTTTGGATTTATTTGTAGTAAAATGGTTAATTTTCAATTGGGTAGTTAGACAGTAAAGTGCCAGATGATAGTATAGCAAAAGTATTATAATAGCTTTGGGGGGGGAGGGGGTAGACATTTTCGACATTGTACCATAGTATTCTTGGAAAAAACAATATAAAACCATGGCATTATTTTCAGTACCACAAGTATATGGCACCACAACTTTACCATGGAAATTTAAAAGAATACCATGCTAATACATAGTACAAGAAGCTCAGATGATAGATAGATA